TACTCCCAGCTCATCAAATATCAACACTGTCAGTGGCCCTTGGCGTCAGTTATCGACGCCACGTATGGCCTGCCTCATAATCTGACGCTCTGAGCGTAGTAAAAAGAACAAGATAGACAAAGTAGGGTGGATTGGTCAAACAAATACAGGACTTTCACCCAGGAGAGCACTGTTTGTGTCCTGTGTGAAGAGTTACTTTAGCAACGTAGCATAATATGTCATTAAGACACATTTATTTTAACCCAAACTTTGATCATATTTTTGAATTTAACCATGTACTTTTGTTGCCTAAACCTGAGGAAGTAAACCCGTAGACTGTATAAAATAATGGACGTAGCTACCGTGATGTCACCCACTGGTTTGTGGACTGCTGTTTTGAAGCCTCGAGTTCTGCATTTTGGTCACCACCATCTTGGGGTTTTAGTGACCATATTTAGATAACAGGTTGGAGTTGTGGAGTAGCGAGGGGTGGATAACAACACCTTGCGGATAGTGATGGCCAAACGAAGCCTCATGAAGCCCACTAGATGGCACTCATGGATTATAGAGAGAGGCTCAAAGAATGGCAATTCAGTGTGCTTTCAACCTTTTGTTGAACAAAAAGCACCATATAGTGGGCTCAAAAAATGAAGAAAATGCTTCATGAGGCTTCATTTGGCCATCACTAAACATAGTATACTACATGGAAATGTACTAAGTACACAATTTGAGACACAGCACCAGTCTTGACCACACTGAACTATTATTCCTACATAATATTTCCAGTAGCAACTTCTTTTCTTTAACCTCTTCCTCATAGCCCAACAAACATGCCTTAACTCTAAATAAAATGACTTCAGCTGCTTAAATCTGTTCCATGGATACCCTTAAACCCTTTTTCTGAGCCCAACAAAAAGGTTGAAAGCACACTGAATTGCCATTCTTTGAGCCTCTCTCTTTAAACCATGAACGCCATCTAGTGGGCTCAGAAAATAAAGAAAATGCTTCATGAGGCTTCATTTGGCCGTCACTACTTGCAGACGCCCTGTTACTCACCCCGGCCTTAAATATCCATAACTTTAAGCCTTAAAAATATGTAAACAGATGAGTTATGTAAAGAATGGGAAACTAGCTAGAGAGACCAAAACTGTTTTTTTTTTGTACCAGGCTGTAAACGTGTTTATTTCTGTTGTAAAGTTGGACATTTTAACATGGATGTCTGTGTGGATTGACTTGCCACTGGAGCCAGCCTCATGTGGACATTTGAGGAACTGCCGTTTTTTTGCCACTTCCGCGTTGGTTTCATTTTTCATTCCCGGAGTTTGCCACTTGAGTAAACCTAAATATGCAATAAACCTATGTTGGTAGTTTATTTTGCATTTAACAAGCAGAAACTGTACTTTTCCTCTGCACGTGGAAGTTTATTTTGAAAAAACACAATGCATGTAACAAGCGGAAACTGACATGCTGACCCTAAGCGACCAAAAGGGATGCTGGAGGGGAACCTGTCATATTTTGACATGTAGGGCCACTGATTGAGTGTTAGTATTTGACGAGTTGGTAGTGAGAATGTGTTTCCTTTGTATATAACCCACCAATATGTTCAATCACAATTCATCTGAAAGTCGCTTGAATCCCTTTTTACAGTGTACAAACCACCCTCGCTCTCTAGGTTCAAGTTTTCCAAACCATCCCGATCACACCCAAAAATGATTTTAAGTCACTTTAAGAATCTCATTGGTTGAACTTTAAAATCACAGATAATGCAGCTGCATTTACATGTGAGTTTAAAATGTCACCAGTGATTTGTTACAGCATTCACTCGCTTTGGTTCGATACTAAAGTGCACCTTTACAAAGCGTGACATCAGCTGCTTACATGCAGCCGCACGGTCCGATTACTGCACAGGAGAGACGCCGACAGTCACTGTGAAAACAGGTAAGACAGGCCACGTGCACACTGTGTATTGAATGTGGCTTTGTGTGCATTTGCGTATTGATCAGTTTAGAATTATTAATGATAATAGTAATAATGTGCACCACTCTACAAGCACTTCATAAATATTAAATAAGCATTGTGAATGGCTTCATGAGTGTTAATTTCAAGAGTTATGCACTAAAGAACACGAGAACATGGGAGATACATGTTTAAACAGAAAGCCTTCACTTGCTGCACCAAATGAACTTTTCATTAACCCGAGACAAAAAACACAAACAACAATAATCCTAAAACAATAAATAAATACAATAGCTTAGACCTGCAAGCAGCTAAATACAATCTTCACAATTCTGCATTAAAGGGGAACTCCGCCACAGTTAAGGTTAAGGATGTTACTGTGTAAATGTCACACTCCAATTTTTCTTTCCTTCCTTGTGATTGGTTGGTTTTGAGTTCTGAGACAAAGGAAAATTAACCCTTTAACATCAGTGACACGTTCCTGAGTCTTTATTAAACATCTGCACTGTTTAAGAAGTAAAGTGCTAAAAGTTAACGGATGTAGTTAAGCTGCTACAAGTCTTAACTGTTTAAAGGACTATTGCACTTCAAAAGGCTTTCCCTCTTTAGCGTGTGGTGCAGGAAAAGGGTCTGTCCGTGTAATTTTGTATCGGGGGAAGACAATTTGAAGATGTCGTAGGACATTTTATTTCCCTTCATCTTGGCAACTCAAAACTAAAAACTGATAAAACTGTATGATATTGCAGAAATTAATGTGTGACTTCAGTATATTTTAACATGGACCCTATTTTCACAAGTGACTAATGGGAACAACAGTTTTTTAAACCAGTTCAGTAATGACAGAGAGGGCTGCAGCTGACACCTGCAAAACAAGCTATGATTTAATCTTTCAGGGTAATAGTGCATTGTCAATGTACCTCCACTGAAAGTGCTTGTTTTTTGCCATTGACAGGATCAGATTGTTATTAGCAGTGTCTGGCAACATTATGGAAAGGATCCCTACAGAGAAATAAATTGGTTGGACCCAATAACAAACAGGCTGGCTCAAACAAAAGACAAAGAAAAACATTTTGTGTCTTTGTCAGACAAGAGATCCTCCTCGGGCCGATGTCACAATGATGTCAGTTTGTTAGCTGGAGGCAAAACACAACTAGTGACCAAAGGGCTGTAGGGCAAATGTCGTCTTGTGGTGTTACTGGGAGCCAGAATAAAAGGAGTCATGGCTCAGAATGTATATTTTATCACCTATCAGCCGCCACTGCCTGTCAACGAAAACAAAGACAGCGCTACAAATTTACAAACTGTCCAGTTTGTGTCAGAGTGCGCTCCGACACTCAGAATGAGTATTTCCGAAAGCAAGACTCGCATCATCTTCCTCCATTGTCTAAAACAAACCAACAGAACTCGCTAGCTAGTGCTAGCTAATGTCTGTGGAGAATTGTTGTGCCTCCAGCTAAGCCCCGCCCACCAGAAAACGGTCACACTGTTCACTAACAATAAAAGGGTCGATAACAATCTGGGCCTGTCAGTGGCAAAATGAGCTCTTTTAGTGGACATACTCTGACGGTGTCTTTTTGCCCCGAGTGATTACATTGCAGCCCGTTCTCTCTCTCAATACTACACCAATGTCAAAAGGTTTTTATTCCCATTACTCACTTAGAGGTTAGGTCACTTAGGTTGAAAAATACTTAAGTTTTTCTTGAAATTCTTAATTTAAGGAAGTATCATTGTGCCTGCTCATATTATTTCAGACACGTCTGCCTGCCCTGAGATATCTGGTTAACTCCAGACTCCACCCTTACTACACCATGGTTATTTCCATCATCACCATCACCTTATCATTAATCCTGGGGGAAGTTGCATTGCCATTCATTCCATTTATACTTCATAGTGAGATTTAAAAGGAGAGGTGTACATATCTCTCAAATTTGCATGTGGTAGACATGCACTTTTCCAACCCTATTTGTTAGAATTTTCTATCCAATAATTTGATCTAAACGTAGTTCCAGGGCTTTTTTTTTCCATATACAGAAATTCTTCATATGCATTAAATCGCCTTTCTCTTTGATACTATAATTTTTTTCTTCAACCTGCTCACTGAGCCTCCATGACTGAAGTCACAACATCATTTATAAACACAGGAAATCATATCATTCATCAGTTAGTTGTCATTTTCTTGACATGCCAGACTTATCCGGTGGCTGGTGAGATACAGTCTTCCTCTGAAGTGATACAGTATTATGTAGGAGCATGAAAGATGGAGGCCTGGACCAAAGATGTTTTCAGTTCACAGATCCAAGATCACCTCGACACATTACCCTCCCTTGGTCTCCTAAAATGGTGTTATTTGTCAGGTCAGTCTACAGTGTGTCACACAGCAGAGCAGTACAATGCCAATGCACTGAGCCAAATGAAACCTGAGCAGTGGTACATTTGATGAACCTCAACAGTGCAGTGTGATAAATGGCCAAATGAATCAATCCTAAATCAAAAGGACTGAATGAGGCTGTGTTTGCTTCAATGGCAGACTGATTAATGCATGTTTGTTTTTGCCAGTTTGCTCTATCTGTACATACGAAGCATCTCTTATTTTGCAATCTATCTTGCCCCGTTTCCACCAAACACTTTTGGTATGGTACCTTTGGAACCATGAGTAACCTTTCAGACATGGTACCTAGAACCTAGAGGGTTCGTTTAGTGTTTCCATCACAAACAGTACTCTTAGATGTGGGTGGGGCTGTTGTCACTCACTGCTCCGGCCAGCACTAGTACCAGATCTGTGTGCTATGTACCCCAACAGAGGGGGGTAGTGATGGCCAAATGAAGCATCATAAAGCATTTTCTTCATTTTATGAGCCCACTAGATGGTGCTTTTTGTTCAACAAAAGGTTGAAGGCTTCACTTTATTACCATTATTTGAGCTGCTCAGAAAATAAAGAAAATGCTTCATGAGGCTTCATTTGGCCATCACTAGAAGGGGGACCAAAAATGGGGACGGTACGGAACGGTTCCATTGGTACCATCCACAACTTTTCACAGTGGAAACAGAAAAAATTCGTACCGAACTGAACTGAACCGTACTGCTGGGTGGAAACGGGGCTTAAGTAAAGTGTGGTGAAGTTCTCAGCATCTGTGCATCTCTATACCTCGGAGAATCTGCGTTACTGTGTTGGTGGCCTGCTAACATGACATGACAAGGATCAGATGTTTATGAGAACTTCAAAATGGGAGGTAATGGGCTTAAGTTAACACGACGTAGTCCCTAAAACAGTGGTGCTTAAGTACAGTGTCTCCTGCTGTAGTATTGAAAATTCTTGGATGACCTCCTAAGTATTTCAAAACCTACATTATAAAGGGTTTTATTTGTGCTGTCTAGATTCAAAAAACACTTCATCATAATTCATAATTTGAAAAAGCTGCTAAAATCAGTTTGGGGCAAAGAAAACATATTTGTCCTAAACATTACAATCCAGTGACCCTCTACAGTGTGTGAAAGCAAACGCACTATACGCCATGCTCTGCAAACGAGGACAAACATTAAACACGTATAAAGGTTTAGACCTGAACTTTTCACACACACGTAATAAGATTAAAGCACACTCACTCATCTCTTCTTGCCAGTGTTTGCATATTGTACTGTACATAGAATAATGGCGCATTCGGCTGGTCATTGTAAACTGGCAAACTTGTATATTTATGGATCATGTGACGAACTTGTATGTACAAGCGTGTGAAAGCATTCTGGGCGCTTGCTCAGGTGAAAAAACAAAAGTAAGGATCGATGAAATCTGAGGTAGCAAATTCAACTATGATAAACTAGAATCACTCAACCTTTTTTTCCTTTATGCATGTGCTTTGATTTTTAGAAATAAAAGCAGGCCAGTGTCATGTCGCATATCATTGTAGCGTCTCTGTTTCTCTACAAGGTCACAACTCATAGCTCATGGAATTAGTAAACTGGGGTTTCCTGCTTGTGTCGTTGTTTATAGTGAGCTGTTTTTGGTGCGCTGTTCTCGTGGTAAACTTGTAAGTTTGCCAGTTTACCTGTTTGTGACGCTGCCCAAGCATGCCATGTGTTCTTCACTCACTAGCAAATCTGTACAATGCTTATGATAGGGCAGCTGATATGTTCATCGAGAAAATTCATGGCTTTTAACCCTCCAGTTCCCACCCCTGAGGTGCAAACCAGCCAATCCAGTGTGCTCTTGGGAAGGGGGAAGCGTTAGCTCCGCCTCTTGGGGCAGGACATCAGGGGGGAAGGAACCAATGACAGAACGGGACAGCAGGTTTCCTGTTAGGCCAGCTAACACTACAATTTACCAACCAGTTTGTGAGTTTATCGGAAGCGCCACGGACATATAGAATAGAATAATCATTATATCAATAGGATTTTCAGTGCAAGACGTAAATGGCTACTTGTTTCGTCATTATTCTGTCCGTTGTTGTCTCGTTCTCGTCAGTCATCCAACACTGGACACAGCAGTAAAGGGATTCTTCTACAGGATAGCAGTCAGTTATGTGTGTGACGCGTCAACCTTCGGCAGACGACTGAGAGGTCCAGACCGGATCGGTCTGGGTCGACCTGGCTGGACTGTGTTCATTAAGTGGCAGAGCTCCTCTCTGCTCTGTTTGTGGTTTTGGTTAAAGGTTGTACCATTGTGGAGTTCAGAAAGCTCCTGATGTTTTATAAGAAGAGAGGGGGGACTTGTGGAAGAGAGACAGAGAGAGGCCTCGATCCTTTCTTTGACCCCCCCGCCTGCCTGGCTTCACTCTCTCTGATCCAGGTGTCCTTTCTGAAGAGGTCAGAGGTGAAATTTCAGCGGTGAAGATACAGTAGCTGGGTGCCCTAAAAAGTTTTTGTGGTAGGTACAGTAGGTGCCTCTTGATCTCCAAAGTGCCATGAGGAACAGTGGAAACAGAAGGGGTAAAACATCGCTGTCGTTCTTTCTCTGTGTCCCTCCCTCCATCCCCCTCTCCTCCCCCTTCACCTCTTCCTTAGCTCCCCCCCGGGTCAGAGCTGTGTCTCTGTGGTGTCCGTGAGTCCAGAGGTGTCTGTGGTTCTTGTAGGGACAGCCTCCTTTGGGTTTCTAGATCCAGGGAAGGTACCTCCGTTCCCACGGCTGGTCCAACCCCAGACCCTAAACATACCCCTGAACCAAAGTCTAACCCTGCTCCTAAGCTTGACCCCACTGCTGCCCCACTCCCTAAATCTATCCCTACACCTGAACCTACAGCTGGCCCTGAAATGACTCCAGCCCCAGTGCCCAGTCCCAGCTCCAACTCCAGATGCTGCCCCAGGCTGTCCAGTCCGGAGGGAGCGAGCTGGCTCTGGCTGGTGTGGATCAGTGGGGAGTCCTGGGGCTGCAGGGAGTCGAGAGGCTTGGCCGGGAACTCCTCAAAGTCCTGGGAATCCAAGATCTGCAGGGAGAGAAACTGAGAGGTCAGTGGGACTGGCAGCTACTACTCTTCTTCTTGTTACAGAGTTAAATTTCTTTTATGAGGGTTGACCTCTGTGTATTGTATTTTCAGCCCAGACGAAATGTTGGCATTGTAGATTTCTTCAAACCACAGATATGTTACAGTTCCAATTTCATACTAATCATATCAATGATTCTAGTGACATAGTGTATCAGCTGACTTTGTCGTCAGGAGCTGCCAAGCTGCAGAACACTGTTCAAGACCAAAAAACAATGAAGCCAGTTGTTTCTTAGTGAGTCATCCCTGCTTTCCTGCAGCTTTTTAGCCACCAATTGTTTTTTACAGAGACATCTCTATGTTTCCAGCCGGGATTGTGCCACCAAAAGCAGGTATTTCAAATCAACAAATGATCTTCCTCGAACCAAAACCAAGTTGTTTTTATGTGCTCGGAGTAGAGCCGCTGCTCCTGAGGTGGTTCGGGCATCTGATCAGGATACTCCTGGGCGCCTCCCGTTAGAGGTGTTTCAGGCACGTCCAACTGGTAGGAGGCCCTGTGGCAGACCCAGAACATGCTGGAGGGATTACATATTTCATCTGGCCTGGGAATGCCTTGGGGTCCTCCAGGAGGAGCTGGAAAGTGTTGCTGGGGAGAGGGATGTCTAGACTGCTTTGCTCAGTCTGCTGCCCCAGCGCCCCAGCCCAGCATAAGCTGATATAAATGGATGGATGATTGTTGTATAATTAACCATTATATAAGCAGAGCACGATATGCTGCAAACTATTCCAGTTGCTTGCAATACTGAGATCCCATTCAAATGTGTCAATGCCTAGCAGGACGCCAAAGTGAAATTGCAAAGCGACAATTTTATCAATACTTGTGTTTCACCTGTGATAAGGAGCCCAAGGGGTCTGTCTCCAGAGGCGTAACAGGCTGGACCAGTCTCTCTCCTGGACCTGGACCTGGGCCGGGACCAGGGTAAGGTGAGACCTGCAAGGGAAGGAAGTGTAGCCTCCTGTTTATTAACTGACACAGACGTATGTTTGTGAGCTGAAACCATTTCCCTCAGTGGAAACAAAGCTTTTATTTACTTTATTTTCACAGATAAGAAACAATAAATTGTGAAGACAATAAAGCCTCCACAAAAATAGCATTTTAAGTCTTGTGTGTGATTTATCCTGGCTTCATATGAGCAGAGGAAATCTCCACTAGCTGCTAGGCTAATTTATACAATGTAAAATGCCATAGGCTTGTGCTAATAATGTTAGCATGTTGTATTTGTTTGTAAAACGTGTTTAGTATAAGACAGTTGTTTTGTCAGTGAACCTTGTCAATTGTAATGGAGCCATATTATGTAATGTTACCTTTGTTAAATGTTGCTGTTGTCCCTGGCTTCATATGAGTAGAGGAAAAGTCTGCTAGCTGTTAGGCTAATTTATACAATGTAAAATGCCATAGGCTTGTGCTAATAACATTAGCATGTTGTATTTGTGGGGAAAATGTGTCCAGATAAAGACAAGTGTTTGTCTGTGAATGCTGTGAGTTATAGTGAAGCTGATTTGTGTACTTGTGTTTGAAACTGTCTCTATTAAGCCATGTTTAATGTGTGTTTAATGTGTGCTTTGAATCAACTAAACTTTATCACACTTTTCAGAAACGGCTTAGGGTCTACTGCACAAGTACAAATCCCCCTTTAGTCTTCCGAAAGACAGATGCTTGTTTGGCCCATGTGACAACAACCATCAGGCTTGTACGTACACACCCCTTGTGTGTCTGTGTGTGTTATTACCTGAGGTGGTGATGAGACAGCGCTGTAGGCAGGAGGAACCAGGGCCATCTGTCTCTGCAGCAGCTGCATGATTGCTCCGATGTCCGTTGACATGCGACTCTCCAACCTGCACACAGTATGTAGTAGACAATCAACTGTTAACGACTACAAGGAGGAGACATTAATACTCTGTAATTATGATCCTTAATATATTCCACTTGTTTCATGAAAGACATTAAACTGCAGATGTTATCTAGGACATTTACTGCTCCAATTTAAAGGAAATTTGTGCTTTTTTATCTTCCTTTTGTCGTCATTAATATCAGTTACAGTACCAAAGGACTAGCCGAGTTAATCACTAAGATTTGGGAACATAAATGTCTGATATGCAAAGAAAAACTGCGTGAGAGAAACTATGGTAAGTACAGTGGATCAAAGCTGAACCAGGAGGTCAACCTGTAAAATGTAATTGATGCCTAACAGATCTCAACAGTGAAGTTAGTGTCTAATGAGCAATCAAAGCTGCAAGTATCATCTGTGAGAACATATTATTATAATATTCTGTCTCCCCTCCACTTCTCGCATAAACTTTCGAATTCTAATTATTATACTTTTCAAAACTTCTGCTAACCCTGCATTTCCCATCCCGCTGTTACTCTGTTACGTTCAGAGGAGTCTGAAGTTTCACTGTATCTTATTAGTAAATTGGCATCTTAGTTTGTAGTCACACTGTGGGAATACATAATGTGTGCTATACACATACAGGAGGTGGAAGTTTCACCATCAAACTTGCTGGGTCCTATCGGAGGCTCCCATACAGCTAATTAGGACTCATTCTGCTGATGTCTACGGCTCTGTTCAACTTTCTGAAGAGACTTTATCATATGTGCGGATATTTTCAGCACGTGGTGGAGGAGTTCTCTCCCATCTCTCGCCATCCTAAATTCCTCACACACACACGTTCAGAGTGCTGACACATCCTAGCCAGCAGAGGCATCCAGTCAATCATGCATTATGACACTGAACGTTCAGCTGGAGGCACAACCAGCCTCACAGCTATAAGTCAGCTCAAAGACACAGCCTGTGATCTCAACAAGACCTGACAAAGGAGCCTCATCCAGCTGAAGGCCACCGGGACGGAAAAACTCTATTTGTGCTGTGGTGAAAAAGGACATGTTCTCACACTGTCAGATGACTGCAGGGTTTTAGCGTGGACTTCAATATTGTCTTCCCTCAACAAGTGTTTGACACAAAGCACAGAGAGCAGCAACAGTCAGACCAACACACACAGAGACGAACTCAGACTTTTAACCAGTCACACCTGTTGAGCTGTTTCTGCAGCAGGTCCAGGCGTGTGTCCAGCTGGTTGCGCTGCTGTCGGCTCAGGCTGTGCAGCGGCGTGTTGAGTGGTGGCGGGGAGGCCAGGCTGCAGCTGGGAACTTCCTGGTACTGCCCACCCCCCCGACTCTCCCCCCAGAAATTAAAGATGTGAGACACACCTGAGAATGCACCTGTGGGAGAAGGAGAGTGAGTGTGTGTTTGTGAAGACCTTACTGTACAAATCTTGAAGATATGGGGATTGTATTCTGTTGTATTTTACCTGACAGGGCGTTGCACGTGTTCCCAGTTTTGGGATCTCCATCGCCTTCTGTGTTCTCATTAAAATTCCTGGGCACAGCCTGAGCCAGCGGGTTCTCCAGCATTGCTGGAGGTGGGGCGAGTCTGGTCACTATTGACTCCTCCCCCTGTAAGAGGCGTAGAACAAAGTTTTTATTGTACCATGGTGTATAATACTGGCAACCAAAAACCAGTGGCGCCCCCAGAAATTTTCTTTGTAGCCTAGCTGAAGAAGTACATGCATACTGATATACTTTGGATTCTTATTATACAGTTGAAATTACTAATTATCTGATGTGTATAGACCCTTTTACTGTTAGTAAACAGTATGACATTTTTTGGTGGGCGGGGCTTAGCTGGAGGCAAATCATTTCTCCTCAGACATTAGCTAACACTAGCTAGCAAGTCCTGTTGGCTTGTTTTAGACAATGAAGGAAGATGATGTGAGTGGCGCATTCAGAAATAGTCATTCTGAGTGTCGGAGCGCACTCTGGACCGTTCATAAATTCAGAGCACTGTCATAAATACAGAGCACCACAATCTCTGAGTGGCAGAGCGCACTCTGGACACTCTGTCTGTGGAGACGGAGCGGCAGAGCGTCGAGCGGAGTGAATGTGTGTTTAACTTAACCGTTGGTTCATTCATGTAGAAATATAACGCTCCTTTTCTTCCACCAACAGGGCTCTCATTTTAGTGTAGAGCGTCAGACTGAATTTACCAACGCACCATGTCAGGTCACTCACTCTCCGGGACCGCCAGTGTTACTTGAATAAGTAAACACTGACCAACGGGACCAGACTGGCCGACCCGTATGCTCTCACTCAGTGGATGGATGATGTCACAGGAAGCCAATCTTACAAAGGAGGACCACACTTGTTTGTTTTGCTATGGAAGCTAACGTCAGCTAATGTGCTAAAAAGTTAGCGTTCCAGAGAAATCCAATATTCCTCTTAATCCCTCCCCAGTTTCTGATGAGGTGGACATGATAACCCTTAATACACATAACCTTATTCATCCCTACAACAGGAAATACTTTTTCCCTAACCTGATATGAAGTGTGTGCTGCACATGTGAGCATTTTTGATGATGGCCTCCGTCCAGTCCTTTGGTCTTATCACATTTAACCATCTTTGTTTTTGTTGACGGGCAGTGGCGGCTGGTTTTGAGCCATGACTCCTTCTATTCTGGCTCCCAATAACACAACAAGACAAACACATTTTAAGACTCCTATGTGGCCTACAGCCCTGTGGGGGAGGGGCAGGTTTTGCCTCCAGTTAACAAACTGATGTTATTGTGACGTCTGCCTTAAAAGGGTCTATCGACGAATACTGGTACGGTTAACACGTTTTGTTCCACACCAGTCCTGTTTTAATATGTTACGTATCGTACCAATAGTTCCTTGCCAAAATTTAACCTAACTTTGGGCTGTTATTTAGCCCCCTTCCTGACAAACTATCCAACCACCAACGGATGCCTTGAGATGTCTAGTTTCACAAACTACCACTACATTCATGCTAGCTTAAACAATGAGCGCAAATGAGCCTCTTAAAGACTGTAATGTTGGCCTCCAATTATTTTTGCTGGGGGGGGGGGGGGCAAGGGGGCCATAGACACCCCATGTGCCCCCTTGGTGGCGCCACTGCACAAACCAAGAAGCACACTAAACATTTTAGGATTAGACATGATGCAAACTGAAGGTATACCTCATCACCACTGGAGTGTGAAGACACCGAGCTTCGATGTGCCTGCCACTGCCGCTTAGATGCCTCCTCCTGTTTTTGGTTGTTGGCTGCTTCCTTCTGTCTCCGTCTCACAGACTTGTGGGACTTTTTAATTTCTCCAGCATCTGCATCATCTGGACAGAGGTGTGCCAGGAAAGATAATCAAGAACGAGATTGGTCAAGTTTTCAGAGACGACTACTAGGAGAGGATTGTCAGACAAACTTCATTATGAAATGAAATGTACTGAAGTCAGACAATTTTTTTTATGTGACAGTGAAACAAATTATTGAAGTGAAAGATGAGCTATAAAGGAAGGGTCACCTTTTTCTGTTCGTCTTCGGAATGAGAGCTTGCGTCTGCGTAATTTGTTGAATCCCCCACAGTTGGAGTCATCACTGCTTGGCGAGCCTGGGATCATGTTGGTCTGAAATGGTGACCACCATTAAACAGCCTTTATTAAAGATACACTGTGGGGATGCTATTTGAAATACAAGCAACAATAAGAATCTGAAAGTCTTTCCAAAAGTTAAACGTCAAAATTTGTCTTGATAATCATTTAAATGTTCCTAATATTTCCAGAGTGTTCAGAGCGTCTTTGAAGAGTTCGTAAACTCACATCTCGGAGGTTGAAGGTGATTTCCAGGTTGTTCCAGAAGTGGTCTGCAAACTCAGGATACATGTCCAGCACCTCCAGAACATCTTCTCTGAAGATTTTATGGAGGTCGCAGTAGGTTAGAGCCCTCACATCAGCATTGGATTTACCCGGTCGAGAATACAGATTAATAGGCTCGCCGAAGATATCGTTCTTCCCTGGGAGTGATGAAAACAAAGAAAGCCTTTATGGATGAAAGACAGGGGCCGTTTACACAAAAATTCCTAGTACAAAGAGTTACTCCTGGTGAGGAAGCTCTAAGAAAAGTCTTAAAATAGTGACTTTTGTGTAGAATTTCCCCTTAAAGTTAAGACAAGGTCCTTGTAAAGACAGAAGTTATTCACAGAGCATCTTAGCCCCTAAGAGAACTCCTAAGGCCAAACAAAAAAAGTGCATCAGAGGAGAAAACAGCAGAGACAAAGAGGTTGGAGAAATATTCTCCAAACATTGAATGACAGGAAGTAAATGAAATGCGACATATTAGACGGTGGTAAGAGATGCTTGTAGTCGATCTCATTGGGGATACACACACATTTCCCACCTAACGCTATAACAGGATGTCTACAGATGAAACCAAGTTAAATTTAAGGCTTTTTTAAAGACCTTTTAAATACCACCTTATATGGAATATCAGCCAGATATAGAATATAATTATGGTTTAAGTTTAAATTCTGTTGCGCCAAACTTAAATTCAAAAATGTTTAAATTTAAACCTCTCTTTAAATCTCATTTTAGTTTTACTCTAGTTCCTCAAAGAAAGCTGAGAGACAGACTCAACCCTCTTGACTTGTCACACGACACCGGCTCATGATTGAAACTGTTTTGGAGTTAAACAGGAAAATTTGGCCAATCAAACAATGGCAGTGACAGGAATGAGGTGTACCATGGACGCTCCAACTCCTTGTCGCCCTAGGATTTTATGCTACTGGTTGTTTCCAAAGGATGAATGGGGAAATGTTTGGCCTTCACAACACGCAATATTGTTCCATTAATTTAACAATTATTTCTCAAAGGAGGAAAAATATAAGCCTCTCTGCCGAGCCATCACGAGAACTGTTAAACTAGCAACTTTTTAGCTAGCTAGAAACAATTTATTATTATGGAAAAAGCAGCTGTTTCAACAGTAAACACCCTCTGCCCTTAACTTGGCTTTACTTAACCGAGAATTACTTATTAATGGTGCAACAGAGCTCTACTTAATTTTAACTTTCTGGGTTTACTCATTTTAAATCTAATTTTACTAAACTCTGATTTGAGCTAATCTTAGATTAAATTAATCCTCATTGGTGCAACCCAGCCTAAAAGTTCTTTAATTCTTCTCTGACTACCAGAGGCCGTATTCACAAACATTTTAGAATACTATTGAACATTCTCAGAGAGCTCCTAACTTAAACTTAAAATTTCTAGCAGGGAGTCGTAGCTTTAAAGTGATTTAGGAAAAATCTCAGAACAACTCTGAACAAGGACAGAACAGAAACTTTTACCTAAGTGAGAAGGCGTGGTTGAGTTCAATGGTAGGTATGACACAGTATAGTCTTTTAAAATGTGTGTTTGGTCCCCAAACATTCTCCCCTTGTGATCTAATCTGTAGCGTTTCATTAACTCACTGCCACTCAGCCGTTGGTTATTAAACGTCCTACCTCTTGGTCTTTCCGCTATTTTCTCCTCTGCTTAAGAAACTCTTAAGCCTCTTAAAGGCCCTCCTCCCTACTCACATCCTTTTACCTCCAGCGCCTTTTTAAGGGCTCAGATGCTTTGTGAACAACTTTTATCTTTACAAGGATCTATTCTTATTTGTGACGGGAAATTCTTCGTATGATCATTTTACAAACGTTCTTAGTATTTCGTCACTAGGAGCAACTCTTTGCCCTTGTAAACTCATGAATACAACCTCAGATCTCTTCCCCAGCTTTTTTAAATACTATGTTCAGTGCCTTCTCGGGCAGGACATTTAGAGGTTAATAATCATTTTCATATATGATTATTTATAGTGAATAGTTAACTGTTTTCAACATGCTGATGACCACTGGTTGGGTGGATTTGAAGCTTCATATGAATCCACACAAGCACACAAGTATATATCTGCACACAACTTTACACAACTGATCTTTACATGACAGAACTATGTTATAAATTTATACAGTTGTAAAGTGTTTTCCTGTTTTTGGAGATGGATCCAATCCCAGCTCACAATGGCCGAAAGACAAGGTACACCCTGAGCATGTCTTTGGTTATATTATCTTGAATCTTCACTGTACTACTGGGAGTAACACTCCATGCTCATCAGCAGATGGCGCTACCAGCTAATGCATAGGTTGTAGTTGTTGAGAGGCAGCATGACCTGATCCTGCACACAGTCAATACCCAGAGAGACATCTTGGAAGAGACACTTAAGCATGAACCAGAAAGGAAAATGTGACTGGGCAAGAAAGAGGTCTGCTACTTTTACAACGTCTAGCTTGATGCAAGAGGCTGTGGACCAGTGGAGAACTTGATTCCAGTTTAGTTTCTAATAACATAAAGTAATCAAAGAAACAGGGGCTTCAGTATGTGGTGTGTGTAATCAGCAAAACATACACTGAAAGCTTCGTATATTTAAAGAAATGTTTTTGTACCCAAGATGGCTACCACCACGTCTCCCCTCAGTATCTCTATGGATCCCCTGGATATGAAGTAGAGGGCTGTGAGGACGTCCCCGGCATGGACCAGCGTGTCACCCGGGGGTGCGTGGGTGGTCTTGAACTTCATGGCCAACGCCCTGAGGCAGCCCTTGGTGGAGCCTTTAAAAGCCTTACAGTTCTGCAGCAGCGTCCGGTTCAGATGGAGGCAGATATCCGCCTGGAGACACTCTGGGAAACCTTTCAGAACCTGTGGAGAGGGAGCGAGGGGGCAAGAAGTCAAAGGGAGGGGAGGAGATGAGGACAAGGAAGGAATAAGAGACAGAGAGGTGGGGAGGACAGAAGGTGAGAAAAAGTAACAGATACGTGGGATGGACGAAATGGCAGAAAGACAAAAGACAAGGAGAGGTGAAAGGAGACGGAGGGGGAGAAGAAGGAAGGACAAGAGGTGGGATAAAGAAAGCAGATGAATTGATAGTGAAAGGTTCATCAGTATTGATATATGCTTTAAGCAGCGATTGATCGATGCAGCAAGTCCAGAGCATAAAGCTTTAGTCAAATAAATGCCACAGATTATGGGCTCTTTAAAAGGAATGATAAAAGGTGTCTTCACGGTTTTTACTGTTGCCGTCCCCACTTGTGACCATTCATAGGGCATTAGCCTTTTACTGTTATTGCACCATTCCACAAATGAACACAACAAAACTAAAGTACCGACACATTTATCACAAGAAGTCACAGTTTTCATTTAATCCTTTATGCTTTTAACCCCTGAGTTGGAGACGGGCATCAGGGATTCTTCCCCTTTAAAGGACCTATGCAGTGACGTTTTAGAGCTTCATTGCAAAATTATTTCTGTATTTCATAAGGCCTACCAGAACAGAGGCAGCAGGCCCGTAGAGTGTAATTAATATGAAGAATTGGTGCAATTTTAATGAGTTCACTGCGAGCAAGGGAAGCCCGAGCTCTTTTAAGCAGCAGGCTATGAGCTTGTAACTCTCTGGCTGAGTGCACAGAACAGAGCTGTGCCGAAAACACCAACATCATGTTTCTTCCTCTCCATTTCTCTCCTTTTCATCCATTTAAGCTATTTTCTTCATTTCAGCCTTGACTGGGCTCCGTTTTCATCTTTCTACAGGCCAATGTCCATCTCGATTTCGACATTTGTCTCTAGACTTTTGTACTCCACTAATCGTCCAGCTTTTGGTGGATTTAATTTACAGAAGCTGGCTCTAAACAAAAAGCATGAAGGAAAGAACCTTGGTGTTATCTTTGAGTGTGACCTGTGTTTTGAACCCCTTATGAAGGAACATCACCAAAAGTGCATTTTTTCATCTTAGAAACACTGCCCGTGTGCAACCCCTTTTATCTAAAGAAGACACAGAAAAATTTGTTCATGCTTTTATCTCCAGCAGACTTGACTACTGTATCGCCTTGTTCTCAGGCCTCTCAGAGAGTCTTTAAACAAAATACACATGATCCAAAATGCAGCAGCATGCCTACTCACCAAGACAAAACATCAAGAACACATTACTCTGGTTTTAAAGGCTCGTCATTTGAGAATTCATTTTAAATCTTATAACAGACTGGCAAGCCCAGTCTCACTCTGAAGTCGTCGAAATCCGGCACTTGGGCAGCCACTTAAGACGTCAGAAAAAATGGAAAAAGGCCCGTTTAACGGGGCCAGGCGGCCTCAGGGGGAAACACCGCAGGACAAGGACGAAAGTTAAGGTGGCCAAAGTGCGAGTGGGGCAGGCGAGAGGGGTGGTGGATGGGTCCAACAAACATCGACCTTCACCTGAGAGAGCGGTATTTGCATCATGTAAGATTCTAAAGCCAAACCCTGTTCTTTTTGCTAAACCCAACCACGTGTTTGTTGTTGAAGGAAGAAAAACGTCAATTGGCAGTTTATTTTGAAAGAGACTTACGTAAACAGTAAATTTCCTGTGAAAACATCTTGAAAGATGACAATGCATGTAAAGGCCCATTTATGCTCAACGTTAAATACGGATACGGACGGAGCCTTCTGTCCGTGCTCCACGTTCATTTTGTCCGTATTTCTGCACGTTTCCATAAAGCTTACGTATACGGGCCAAACGGAGCAGTACCACTTGGAACTTTGGGGGCAGTGTTGCTGTCACTACCCGATACGTAGCTCTAGTGAGACACGAAGAAGAAATAACAATTCAATTTCTCTCATCGGCAGTACTAGAGAAAAGAATTCTCCGTCCTCCAGTCGCGATGTATTTATCGGCCTCACCGACCACCGCCTCCTACAACGCTGCCTCTGTTTTTGTCTTTTATGCAAGAGGTACATTATCAATATCTCCTCCACAGTCGCCATGTTTGTTTTTGAGTTTGTTGTTGTCATAAACTTTTGACTCTGGGCTGCCCCCTGGTGGATATATTGGTTAACATCTATGCCAACGTAAAGGACGCATGGAAGTATGTGGGCAGTGACGGTAACATCGTTTGAAACGGACATATACATTTTCGTACGTAAAGGGAGCATAAATGAGCCTTAACAGGCCGAACTTGACACGATGTCCCAGAACATCAACAGCCAACGCACCCAGGGTACCTTGCACGTTGTATGTGGATGTGGAAAGTCCATGACTAAACGTGTGACAAGGTCAGAGTGAGAATGTGTTGGACTGTCTCCCTACTATTTATCTGATATGTTGGTCAAATACATTCCCTCCAGATCCCTGAGATCCTCCATCTCTGGTCTACTGAATGTCCACCAGAATAGAACTCAAAAGTATGCTGTGCTCTGTGTCATCCTTCCAGAGGACGTCAGACTCTCTGATTCAGTAGAAAGCTTCAAACTAACTCTTAAAACCATCTATCTTTAGACTTGCATTTTTGTAGCTTCTGTTTAATTAATTGGTATCAAACCTAATTCGCATTTTGAAATGTTTCAAGGTGTGATTCGAAGACAGTCAAACACACAGATGCATGGAAACAAATACAACAAACTCTGTGTAGCCTCACAACACAACTGCGACTTCCCTTTTGTGGATGTGAATAATAGCCTGCTCTCTGTAAATAACCATTTTGTGGATTTGTGGGGTGCCAGGCACAACCCTAAAATGTGCTGAAGTCAGATATCTAGAGGCGGGGTACATCAGGTGTTCTTCCGGCTCCACTTTACCGGTGCATTTAGCAGATGCTGAACTGCTGACTTTCAGGCTCCACTGTTATTGTTTATATAAATGTTTGCTGTCATGATATATTATTGTGGTCTTTGCTGAAGCTCTTCTGCTGAGCAAAGCTTCTGTTTAGTGTGGAAAGTGATGTTTTTATGGGCTTTTGTGCCTTTTTTGCTTTCACAGCCTCTGGGACACTTAAACCACTCCACTCTACAGCTGCAGCCAAACACACACAGGTGACTGTGTATCTGACATTAAACTGTATAAGTGCCCAGTGTAGGTGTAGCTAAAAGCGTAGGTTTAAAATATATGTATACACAGATCAGCCACAACATTAAATCCACTGACAAGTTAAGTGAAAAACATCAATCATTTTGTTCCATAGCAATGTTCTGCCAGAAAACCTTGGGTCCTGGCATTCATGTGGATCCCACTTAACACGCACCGCCCACCCAAACAACACTACAGACCAAGTACACCCCCTCATGGCAACGACACTCTCTGATGGCAGTGTCCCCCCCAACAGGACAATGTGCCATGCCACACTTTAAAACACTGCTCAGGAATGTCCCAAAGACGTGACAGAGATCCAAGCGAGGATGCCTCAGCCCGAGATAATGTACACCCAGAGAAAGCTTCTCTTCAAGCCGGTGCAGCAGGTTTAAAAGCAAAGCAAGCATTGGAAATAGAGAAGTCTCAATTGCAAACTAGACGGGAACAAATGGAACTGGAAATGAGCCTGGCTGAGTCTGATGCCAAAAATTGAAAATCCTGGAAAACGTCCGGTTAAACCCACCACTGTTTCAACCACAAACAGTGTGGTGGCATGGATGATCATCTCTAAGGAAAATCTAATGTGTCCTAAATTCAGAACCATCTTCAATTGAGTTTGCTGAGCTTGGAGCCATTGCCAAAACAGCACTCCAAAGGCTTGTTAAAGAACAACTGAGGCCACTAGGACAAATCCATAATACAACCCAAAGCACTTACCAAACAGCAGCAAGAGCTGGAATTACAGTGACAAACAATAATAACAATTTCATAACTGTAATGCAGAGAAAAAATGATGTTGCTGATTTATTGGTCCTTCAACACAGACAGACATCACTGTCCAGTTTTTTGATGGCAAACCTCCAAACTATCAAATAATTCTAAAGGCATTTCAGCATGGCAGTGTAGTGGTGTAACGATCCATCAGTCTGAATCGATACATGAATTTAATGATCAGTGATCCAATATCATTGATGCAAAGTGAAAACATTGATCCATACTGTCATCTTAAGGTTACGCCTTTATTTTGAAATTCTGTGTCGCCAACAAACAGCAGCAGGTAGATGGCAAGTAGTCAAGAGGAAGACAATTAGGAAAAGGCTATTTATGTGGGAGCCTATCCCAGCTGACATTGGGTGAGAGGCAGAGTACACCCTGGACAGTAGTGATGGCCAAATGAAGCGTCATAAAGCATTTTCTTTATTTTCTGAGCCCACTAGATGGCACTCATGGTTTAAAGAGAGGCTTCATTTGGCCATCACTACTTTCAACCTTTTGTTGAACAAAAAGCACCATCTAGTGGGCTCAGAAAATAAAGAAAATGCTTCATGAGGCTTCATTTGGCCATCACTACTTTCAACCTTTTGTTGAACAAAAAGTGCCATCTAGTGGGCTCAGAAAATAAAGAAAATGCTTCATGAGGCTTCATTTGGCCATCACTACTTTCAACCTTTTGTTGAACAAAAAGCGCCATCTAGTGGGCTTAGAAAATAAAGAAAATGCTTCATGAGGCTTCATTTGGCCATCACCCTGGACAGGTCACCAGACTATCACAGGGCTGACACATAGAGACAGACAACCATTCACACTCACATTCACACCTATGGACAATTTAGAGTCACCAATTAACCTGCATGTCTTTGGACTGTGGGAGGAAGCTGGAGCACCTGGAGGAAACCCACGCTGACACGGGGAGAACATGCAAACTCGTTTGAACCAGAGACCCTGGATTCTTGCTGTGAGGCGACAGTGCTAACCAGCACCACCAGACTTTGTAATATCTTCAAATATCATATTGTTGTCCAAGGAATTGATATAATATTGTATCGTGATCGCACTTGTGATTTACAAACCAATGGCATTTAGGAAAAACCCAGTAGCTACCAGGATATATTACCTGGAACGACATACCTCTAGACGCTGCAGAGAACTGATCAGAAGCTGTCTTCATATGGACTCAAATTTGGGCTTTGCTGATGCGAGGACACTGCTAAACGTGCATTTTGGAGATGAAATGAAGATTGCTAATGCCTATATTTTAAAAGCCCTTAACTGGAACAGTATAAAGGCAGAAGATTAAAAGGCTCTGTCCTGTTCTGCACTTTCTCTGAAAAGCTGCTGTAATGCAGAGAGAGATCAGCAGGACATGGAGGAGCTTGACTTGCCCTCTGACATAAGGCCCGCTGCGTCAGAGCTACCTTATAAACTGAGCCAGAGGTGGTGGACAGCGGCTTGTGATATTCTGGAGCAAAGCCCAAGAAGAGGAGGATTACATGACCTTGTAGCATTTACTGAATTGCAAGCTAAAAAAATCCAAGAGCCACTCTTCAGTGACAGTCATGATCCTGCTGCCAGTGAGAAGACTTAAAAGACCAAGACTAGTGCTGAATCAAAACCAAGGGAAGCAGCTCGGCTAGCAGCGTCTGACAGCAAGCCTGAAAGTCCAAACGAGAGAAATCACCTGTTAAAGGCAAAATGTCCTCCAGTGCTCATGACACCTCATATCCCTTTTGTGCCGGCAAACATCCTTTAGCCGAGCGCCAGAAGGTAAATTCACAATCACATGAGAATGAAATTGAGTTTCTCAGAGAAAATGGATTATGCGTTGGATGTCTGAGAGCAGGACACTTGAGTAGAAACTGTAAAAGAAGAATGACCTGTCAGAGCTGTCAGGCCAAACAACCTACTATACTGCACATTAAAGCTGGGGTAGGCAGGAATCTGGGGAAAGAAGGGGCAGAAGTTAAAAATACATGCTCATCCTGCCACTCTTTCCGTCCTAAGCCACTCCCAACAGACAAACACGGGCATATGTATGAATATTTAATCTTACTTCATTGTAGAGCTTCAAATCCAAATTTGAAATTGACAGGTAGGTAAAACCTAAGAACTTTGATGCAAACAAGACCATGGTACGGCAAGTTATCTTTTGTCATGTAAATGACATGGAGGAGGTACATGTTGCATTTGTGATAGAGAGAGAGCTCCAAGTAGAGCACCAGGAATCCACTTTCTGGGCTGACAGCCAGTCTGTGCTGAAAAATCTTCGAAATAAGACCAGGAGGTTCCACACTTTTGCAGCCAGCAGGATTGATCCATAACCAAAAGTGAATCAGCGGAGGTTTGTAGGCTCCAAACACAACCCAGCTGATGATGCATCACGAGGACTGAGCACTGAATTCTTCTTGCGCTCTAAAAGATGGCTCTAAAGTCCAGAGTCTCTGGAAAAAATCTGGACAGGATTTCGAGAAGATTTCAACAAGACCCTCAAGTGCGAAGAGAAGTCACTGTTAGTATGACAGGAAACAAACTCTAACAAGCTCATTAAGTATAACTCATCATGGAACGGCTTAAAAAGAGTCGTAGCTTGGATGGTGGAATTAAAGAAACTCCTTTTACAGATGAGAAAAGCAAAGGGTGTACTCGCTAACTGGTCTAAGATAAATCAGGACATGGGAAAGTCACTGAAAGACCAGATGCGTCTGCTCAATATGCCCTCAGCTCATGCACTGAGCCTTTTGGTAGAGGACAATGAAAATGCTGAAAAGGTCATTATCTGCCATAAGCAGAGGCAGCATTTAGAGAAGGAAATCGCCTCCCTGGAGAAAGGCAAACAGTGCACTTGAGGAAGTTCCCTAAACAAGCTGGATTTTATCATCAATTTCGGCATTCTAAGAGTAGGGGGAAGGACTAGACAGATGGCAGTGCCAGCTGAGGTCAAACACCCTGCAATCCTGCCGAAACATTCTCACATTTCAAACTTCTTCGTACATTTAGCCACGTCCACACCGATGTTACTGGAAATTTCTCTCCAGGAGTTTGCAGTAGGGGTGTGCCATATCATCTTGTTCACGATAATACCGGTGACGAGCAGCGTCAGTAGTGTGGAATAAACTGTGGCGTCCTGAATGTTTTATGAACAGCCCCGGACTTCTCAGACTCTTTTACCGCTCAGAGGGAACTCGTTCAGCGGCTCCTCTGGCAGCAGCACAGCGTCTCTCCCTCTCCTCTCTCGCTGTGAGCACACAGGAGTCGGTGTCGTCAACTGATAAAGAATCGTGCAAATGTACATCTTTTTGGACTTCTTCAATCAACCCCTCCTCCATCTGGTCCATGTTTACCAAAAGAGAAGGAGCAGCTGGAAATGCGTAGGAAGAAATGCGCTATTTCCAAGCCAACCAACCAAAGCTGATGCGGTTTGCGTCACCACAACATGTAGTTACAGTTCTGGGGAGTTGCACGATAGGCTACAGCGTAGGTTACGTTGAAGGTATGGCGTCAATTTGAAGCAGGAGTATCAATCCCACTTGAACACTCACTCCTTTTACAATCTGTACCTGGCAAACCAACTCAATGAGTTAGCACCATCCCCTGCAACTCCACCCACCAGCCCTAAACCACCAGCTCCTCCACCCCCACCTCAGCAGGGGCCCTGGCCTCTCCACAAGTGACCATCCCAGAGGCCCCGTCCTACTCCTCCTCCTCCTGACATGTTGGGCTGTGGCTTTGCATCTACAGCCAAAGTCAATGACACGATACCCTGGATAGAAAAGAGTCTTTTCTAACATTCCCACATATTCACAGCTGTACGAGAGCAGCCTCGGAGCAGAGTCAGTGTCTTGCTCACCACTTGCAAAAGAGACATTTCTTTCTCTTTCCGCCTGCTCTCATCACAACACTCCTGTCGCGCACAGTTCCCCATCACAGCCACATTATTATTCCCTCTGTCTTCCTGAATGAAGGAGGTCGCAGCTGATTGAATCCGTTGTGAAGACAGGCAGACAAGATCTACTCCACACAATCATAATGCTCATTACAGTAAACATTCTCTACTTCATTGGGCCTTTAAGAGAGCAAAGTAATGAAGGAAGACGAGGGGGCCGACACCGGAAAACACGTTCCCATGGATGCTTGTCCAATTTGTTTCTTCTCTACTTCAATGGCTCACTTATTACACTGAAATGAAATGGGGTTTCGCCAATGGAATATTGTGTTTGCACTGGGACTCTGCTCGCAAACAGAGTTCCTCTACGCTTCTATGAGGCTTCGCAGACAACAATGAGACTGATTATGCTCCGAGGGGTAGTTTTTAAAAGAATTTGGATGCTGGAACGGCATCCTGAAGTTATGAGCACGGATATTTTTAGTAAAGTGTACTTTCTGAGCCGAGAGAAGGAAACTTACAACGCAGTGAAACATTGTGGCTGTAAAGATAGTAAAGACGACATCCACTGACTCATGCACTGCATTAAATGCTTGCCTAAGCGGATGTCAAGTGTGTGGCATGTTTATGATTATAGCTGCGTGTGTGTGGAGCTGCGGTTGCTTATATCTGAGTCAAAGCCCAAGTAACAGTGCAGAGAAACAGAGGATGTGACCGTGGCTGTGCGTGTGTGTGTGTGTGAGAAGGACCTTTCTACACACTGTGACTCACAGAGGTCAGGTTGAGGTCGACTGTATGCATCGAGCATGTTTAAAGCCCTTGATCAATCTGTGTGCATTTGTGTCCATCGACAGGTGTGACTCACCTCGCTGTGGGTTTGTGTGTTTCAAGAGTGTTAGCCTTCATGCATGTGAACAAACTGCTGTAGCTCCATGCATGCTGCAAATACTTTAACGTGTCTATTTGCACACGTTTGGCTCTGTGTGTGTGTAAGTGTGTGCAAATCATTTATGATACTCACATCACTCCTATTTTCTCTGATGGTGTCGGACCATGCATGCTGAGACAAAGTCTTCACATCATCCTATTAACGTACAACGCAGGCTCAAAACACTCCTCTGACCTCCTCTGTGTACATGTGTGTATTCATGCCCAACACTCACTAACACTGACACACTGGGTGCACGAGGACAGGTACTCACAGCATTCATGTCGATGCCGTTGGTGTAGGACCAGGCGTGCTGGAAGTACTCCTCCAGCCTCTGCCTGAGCGGGTTGGGGATCTGGTGGAAGCGGATGAACTCCCTGACTCTGAGCATCTGGGTGTGGTAGCGGGCCGTCCCCGAGTACAGCCGCTGGATGATGGCTGACACGTTTCCGAAGATACTGGCGTACATCAGGGCTGGAGGTGAAAGACAGGGCAAGGGAGAGGGTGAGATGGGAGGGAGGATTTGAAAGTGTGAGGAAGGAGGAAACAGGAGAGAATAACATATACGTTAACAGAAAGTATGGGGACACACCACGAGCACTCAATACACTGATATGACCTGACATATTTCTGGCCGACTGTCTTCTCCATCTGAGAGGAAATATATTAAGCTTGACACCCTTGGGTGATGTGTTTGATAAGAATACTGTAAGTGGAGAAGGGCAAGGAAATAGTATAGAGAAAAGAGGAGACAGTGAAAGCTCACACAGTTGATGGTATAATTCATCTGGAGTTGTAGCTCCCAGACTGTGGAATAAACTACCTTTGCTATTTCTGTATTTCCTCTTATATATCAGTCAAATACTTTAAACTGTGATTATATTTTCATTTAAACATATTTCCTATTATTCTAGTTCACTATTTATGATTTATTTTTACTCTTAGATGAAATGAAGGTGCTATACAAATTAAGTTTTAATCATCAGGTCAAACTGACACACTTTAATTAGATTACACAGACACATTAGCCTTTTGGCATTACAGGAAACACTTGTGAGTGTCATATGAACATGATTCATAGACTTTAATCTGTGAGAGTGCACCCTGTAAACACAAAGCCTGATGAGCTACAACATTCAAAACAGGAAGGAAGTCGTGATCTTGCTCATCATCACTCTGCTCATTGACTTTCAGAGACTAGCAAACATTCAAACTCTGGAAAATACACATTTGATTTGGACAACTTCAACTGTTGAAACCCGAAATAAACCTTGGCTGAACTTTAGAAAGCATTTTAGCATGAAACAAGGAATATGAATTTTGTCACCTCATCTCCAGCACTGAAGTTGAGCTGGGCCGGCTTATATCTTACTATGTAATAATGAAAACTCTGTGTGTGTGTGTGTTCCATGTTTTTCTCCTCACTGACTTGGTCAATCCATGTGAAATTTGGCACAGTGGTAGAGGGTCATGGGAGGATGCCAATGAAGCAATATTACATCAATTGGCCAAAGGGGGGCGCTATAGCAACCGACTGAAATTGCAAACTTTGAATGGGCATATCTCATGCCCCGTATATCGTAGAGACATGAAACTTTGCACAGAGATGCCTCTCCTCATGAGGAACACATTTGCCTCAAGAACCCATAACTTCCGCTTATATAGATTTTCCGCCATTTTGAATTTTTTGAAAAACACTTCAAATTGATCTCTTCCTAGGAAGTTTGAGCTATCTGCATGAAACTGGGTGAACATAATCTAGGGACCAATATCTAAAGTTCCCTCTTGGCAAAAGTTGGAAAACTTACTAAAACTGAGCTTCTATAAGGCAATGAATATTGCGGAGGGCGTGGCTCATCACATAAAGGTGTATAACATCTCAAGGGTTTCACCCATCACCACGCAACTTTGTAGGCATATGACCACACATAATCTGAGGGGACCCCTCCATTATTGACCCCATCAAACAAAATGGGGGCGCTAGAGAGCTCATTTCTTATCTAGGCCTAACTGCCATATGGATTTATACTAAACTTGGTAGATATGTAGAACAGGACGCCTCAAGGTGACTGGAGAAATTTAACTCTAATTGGCAACTGGGTGGCGCTATAACAACAGAAAAATGCTTCAAAATGGCTAAAATGCGACCGATCGCTGTGGCTCCCCCTGTGGACCAATGTTGGTGTTTCTAATTTTTGGTATGACTAAGTCATGGTATGGTATGCTGCTGCAACAAGGGCTAGCCGCACCTTTCCCATGTGAACTACCAGTGCGCCTCTCTTTTAAGTCAATACAACATATAAACACTTTAACTATCTGCCTTTCAACGTGCTACCTCAACTACTAATGTACAGTTTTAGCCCACTAACTATCCCACTATTGGCAATGGTACTACTGTACTTTCAATAAAGCAATCGGACTATCAAATTCACAAACACTCTGTCTGAATACATTGCTCTTCTTAATGGGTTCAGTTGACTATTTAATCTGCAATTTCCTATGACCTGTATCCCAAACACACACCATGTGGATCTGTACGTGGGCAACTGTGCACTCAATGGGTATGGACTAGTGTATCATTATTACTGAAAGTTTATTAGTATTCAGTTACACTACTCATTACTGGAAAAAGTAATGTTCTTACTGTACGGCCCAACACTGCCTATAAGTGACTTAAAGGAGCTGTATGTGACATTCTGAACATATCTATGATCCAGACTCTGAGCACGGATTGCTTGCACACGGTTATAAACATGCAGGCGGCTGAGGTGGTGGCCAGGAGATAACAATGCTAATGGCATGAACACTGCAGGGACTCACATGCACAACCACAAAAAAGTACAGAGAAGCTGTGATTACTAGGGATGCATGATAATGGATTTTTTGCCGATATCCGATATGCCGATATATAACAAGTCATTTGACCGATAACCAACACTATAGTCTCTTTTAGTAGTGGAACTAACATCATATTATGCATGCATACTCTCACAGTGACGGCCCACCAGCAAATAGAGAAACGGGATACAATACTTTTCAAATGTATGTTATATTCAATCATTGAGCAAAATAAGAAAAAGCATGTTGGTCGATCCAAATTTTGAAGCCAATATCAGCAGATACCAATGACGTGCCGATATTAATCTGCATCACTAATGATTACAACCAGTACAGAGGAAGTGTGACTTGCTCACAACGCCATTACTCCTTTTTATCTTTACATGGCGAATAGCTGTTTGTTGCTATATTAATGCTCTGAATGTTGTACACTCAGAGAATACTCATGCTCAAACTATGTGTTGAATCCACAGATGATCAACAACTGCATGAAACTGCTCACAAGGTCTGCAGATTATTTCGAGTACCTGGATCATTTTTCTTGGAAAGAGACATTGCTGTCGCAAGCCGAATGCTGTATAGTTTGTTTATAATCTAGAGAAGGCAGACATCTCTACAGAACTCAACAACCCACACCAAAACAATCTAAATTAATAAATAGCACTAGAGGTAAGAGGAAAAATATGTAGTTGAGATTCTGGGGGCGAACTGTCCCTTTAAGAATAACTCCGTCCTCTGGAGAACAGATACAGCCGGAGCTTGACTGATCTAAAGGCTTTTGTCTGTAGAGGACAGAGTGTTTTCTGTCGTATCCTTCGCGAGCCTCCATGTTTTGTCCTGTTGTCAAGTTGGATCCTGCAAACGTCTCAACCTCTGTCAGCTCCCATCACCGTCTACATCACCCACTGAAACTGCTGTCTGTGTGAGTACGTATAGTTTTGCACGTGTGATCTCTGACTCTGAATTTGAATACATTGTCCATAATACACAACCATTTAAGAGCAACAGAACCTTCAGTAATGTGGATTTTAAAAGCCTCAGGTCGCTCTCTGGCCAAGCAAATAGCAAACTGTCTGGAGAGGGAACACAGCCAAAACCCCACAAAAGCCACCCTTGTTTAGTGAGTGCCTCTAAGTCTTTGTGGAAACCTGCTACTACAGTACGCCACATGCTTTTTCCAATCTTATTTTTACAGGCACAACACAATATAATGAGCACCTGCATGGAACCGTAACAAGTTTCTAGTCCCTTTATAGACTGAGCGCTACTTTTAAATATCCCATTCAGTTTCTCATCCTATGGTTTGCCTGATCAATGAGGTCCAGGGCTCCGCCAGGCTGCAGAGGTAATTACTCTGTGGAGAGGAAGCCGAGTTGATAAGCATGAGATGGGATATTACAATCTCAGCTGAAGAAGTTTATTAATAAATCATTAAGGGATATGCTCTCAGAATGAAAAGTATGATCTATGGCCTTGTCCAGCCGCTGTAATTATAGGAAGAATAGTATATGAGAGGAGAAAAAAGCAACATCTTGGTGATTTAAAACTTCCAGACTCTCGAACTGACGCTATCTGGTGAGAAGTAACCCCTGCTGTACTGCCTGGAGTCTGAAGACATGTTAGAGGAGGATTTTACAGCAGGTTATGTTCCCACCAATCATGTTGAGCACTGCATAATGATCTGAGTGAAATTCATCTACCTCGTAAACAAAATCCAGTTGAAAAACAGGATATGGTGTGACTCCATTGGCTTATTTCAGTGTGTGTCTGGTAAATCATAGCCTGGAAATCCAGACCCAAATCCAGATAGATTTAGGGTCTGGCCATGAGTAATGAAAATGGCCCAACTCGAGGGGTTGCACCAAGCATGCATTTGTAAATATCACTGCATGCAATTGGATAACACTACGACCAATCAGAACAATACTTAGCGCTTAGCTACCAGCGGAGCTAACTGGTAGATTAGACTCTTGCTGTATACGGTCGGCAAAACAGCAAAAACGTCCTTCTTGCAAAGGAAAGATTTGAGCGCCGTCTTCTGTTCCTCTTTTAGAGAAAAAGCTAAGTCTAACTCGTTCATTGTAGCGGTCAAAGCCGTTTCAAACTCCTGGTGTTCATCCGTAGCCATCTTGTAATGTTTACTGACTGATTCTGGACTTCGTTTTCGCAGCGCTGTCGTCATCTGTTTAGCTCGCCTCTGGCCCTCCTATATCAGATACACCGACGTGATTGGTGCAGCTCGGTTTCATGGGCATAGATAATAGGGATGGGTCTTGATTTCTGAATTTCGAATTGTCGTTTTATTTTTGAAAAACTGATTTTTTAATGCGACTATTACTATTTGCCGTCTTATTTCCCCCCTTTATTTGACATGCAATTCAGCTCCTAACCGCACGAGGGCAGTATAGGATTGCTACAGCGGTGTGAGATGGGCTACCAGCTAGTTTGATGCTCTTCTACAAACAGGAGAAACATGCAGAGACTACAACTCCGCGAGGAATGTCCACAGTCATTCGGGCTTTCATAGTCGAGCGCACTTCCGTGTTGTAGTTTCCTGTAAAAATGTCCGTGAAAAATCCCTGCGACGTGAAAATTACATGCAGAGCAGTCACCGGTGCGCGGAGCGGAGTCCGCGTGGTCATAAAATCTGAGCTATGCGCACACAGGGCTTGCGGACGTCCGCTTTGAGTCCGTGCGGACCTCCGTGGAGTCTGTTCCGCGTACGTTCCACCCAAGTATGTTCGGGCCTTTAAAGATGAATGGATCTCTGTGTGCGTGGCTCCGGGGGGAGGCGATTATTCGAGAAGTTGTCAAATAGTTGCCATGATTTTCAAATAGTGTTTTTGCTTGTGCTGCCCATCCCTAATAGATAATGAACATCATTACTGATTGCCAGAGTGACTCGCTGAGCAAATTCAAATTGTGCTCTCGCAAGATCTTTGGATTTCCAGGGTAGGTAAATCATCTATGTGCTAAGCAATTTTACTAAGTACATCCTGTGACATTTTTATTAAGACACTTTCTTCCACCCAGATCTGAAGTTCAAGGCGCAGCTACTTTTACCATAACATTATTACTTACATCCTATGAGCATGACACAGATGGAGAAGATCTTCTCAGAGTTGGTGTTTGGGGACACGTTTCCAAATCCCACACTGGTCAAGCTGCTGAAGGTGAAGTACAGAGCTGTGACGTACTTGTCTTTGATGGAGGGTCCTGAACCTGGAGTGACAATGCACACATGTATTTCGAAAAAATCCTTTGCCTAACAGAATGACAGATGATTATGATGACATTATGACCACGATATCTCGAAACAGTACGACATTATTTTTCCTCTCAGTACCTAGGACAGAGCTGTTGTAGTGCTTTCCCAGTTGGTCCCCCAGCGTGTGGAGCCAGCCGATTGAACCATTCCTCTCCACACTACCAATGGCGTACCTGTGAAAAATAACAAGCAGTTAGAACATGATTGAATGTAAATAGTTACAGATATTAGCAATAATTAGCCCTCTACAGTTGGTAGAAAGATAATCACACTAAATTGATTTTAAAACTCCTGATAGTGTTGTCAAAATCTAACTTCCTTGATTAATATTGATTGTTGAATTTCGAAAGAGTTCAAATGCTCATCTTCTGCAGTATCGAGTTCTATGATGTGACCGTGGTTAGAATAAAATAAACTACACACACTGGAGAATACTCTCTTTCAGGGACTGAGGAATTGTCTCAAGACAGTCAGTATGTGTACATGACATTAAAGAAATTGATTTATTGCATTAGACCGACTAAAACCGAACTTAAAATACATGTAAACATGTTAGTCCGGCTGAAATCATATGAATTTGAAGTCCTCAAAGTCTCACTAACACACCTAGATAATGGGATTGGAAGTCGAACTCAGACGAGGAGACACAGTTCATGTTGTGTCAGCTGAGTTAAATATTTTAAAATACATGGATAGGAGGAAAACAAGGAATGGTGACCAATTAAAAAAAGTGTTGGAACAGCTGGACGACGCTGGATTGTTTGGTCTGTGACTTAATAGGTCAACCAGAAAAAGGTCAAATGCTTACAAGCTGAAAGGGAGCATATCTCCACCTGTTGTAGTGGAGTTGGACATACTTAAGTCAGTAAATCGAAAAGGACAGCAGTCCAATTAAATAACCTTGTCGAGCTGCAAACGTATTATATATAACCCTATTCAATTATCAAGTTTGCACTGTGCTACTACCCTGGAAATCCAGAGCTCTTGTGAGAGCACAATTTGAATTTGCTCAGCGAGTCACTCTGGCAATCAGTAATGATGCTCATTACCCATGCCCTCGGAGCCAAGCTGCACCAATCACATCGGTGTATATGATATAGGCGGGCCAGAGGCGAGCTAAACAGATGACGACAGTGCTGCGACAACGAAGTCCTGAATCAGTCAGTAAACACTGCAAGATGGCTACGGATGAACACCAGTTGTTTGAAACTGCTTTTGTCGCTACAATGAACGAGTTAGACTTGGCTTTTTCTCTAAAAGAGGAACAGAAGATGGCGCTTGAGTCTTTCCTTTGCAAGAAGGACGTTTTTGTTGTTTTGCCGACCAGATACAGCAAGAGTCTAATCTACCAGTTAGCTCCGCTGGTAGCTAAGCACTAAGTATTGTTCTGATTGGTCGTAGTGTTATCCAATTGTGTGCAGTGATATTTTCAAATGCATGCTTGGTGCCGCCTCTCGAGTTGGGCTCTTTTCATTACTCTTAGCCAGACCCTAAATCTGTCTAGATTTGGGTCTGGATTTCCAGGCTACTGTGCTGCTGTATTATCTAATAAAATCTAAGTATTGGACTCGGATTGGGATCGGGGGCAAAAACACGACTGGGACAACCCTAAAAATAAAGTAGACTATTAGACATTATTGTGACAACACACTGTAAAATCTCATCAACTCCATATTTTTCAAGTATTGTATTTAAGTTGAGAATTTCATTATCCTCCTGAAACCCTGTGTCCTCACATGAGGACATCACAGACTTCATTCTACTTAACTCAGACCTGTTGTCCTCATTCGTGGACACTCTTTAGTGCCATCTAGTGGTAGTAAGAGCATAATACACTAATCCGTGTAAAAACAAGATGGCAGCCACCTCTGCCAAGTCAGTCTGCAGCCGATCCAGACACAAAAGTGGACAAGGTCCAAACCTGATCACATGTTATGGTTGAAACTTGTTTATTAATGTTTAATAATGTTTGTAGATTAATATGGCAACAAATTTGACCAATTTTAGCGACAGTAACAAGTTAAGACGCTGTTAATTATGTAGTACACATTTGAGGACACTGGGACTTTATTATCATCTCGTTTGAGGACAGTTGGACAGTGTTTAGTTTTTTATACTTATCAGCTCCTACTGATCCCAAATAGCTAAAAGAAATTAAAAATGCATACCAAACAAAAGTTCAGTTCTCAGAGGATACTGCAACACTGCTAACACTCATATAACACCAGCTCTGATGTGTGCAGACTGAGACATGATTATTCCCATATTAATCCTTTGTAATTTCATCAGACATCATTGTACCAGATGCAGGCCAGCCAGTGAGCGATGAGGGCAAAGGTGCACATGAGGAGGAAGAGTACAGCCGCGCCGTACTCCGAGTAGCGGTCCAGCTTCCTGGCTACACGCACCAATCGCAGGAGACGGGCGGTTTTCAGCAGGCCAATCAGAGTGGTGGTCTGAGTGTGAGAGACAGAGCACAGGTATCGGTGATGAGACAAAGTATTGTACAGCATGGCAGGAAACAAACTCCCCTGCCTCCGACGTCTCCTCACAGCTTTCCCACCTGCTATCATCCTGTCACACACACACATTTACACACACAGGTGGGACAGCCGTGGCCTTGTCCCGATGTGATTCACTGCTGTGGAGGTGGTAAATCCTGACTCCCTTTCATTACTGTGGGCTGTCTACTCCCTCTCCTTTCTACTTGTATTCAGCTGGCCCTCTCCATGTCCATACAAGAAATAAATAACAGGACGATCACTGCGCTGGCACCGAGCCTAGTCCTGCTCCGTGCGTGCGTGTGTGTGTGTATGTGTGTGTTTGTGTCCTCACAGTAAATAATAGTTGTCTGGTGAGGAAAATCTCCTCTTTCTTGGCTCTGCAGCCTCGTCCGGACAGCCTCTGTGAAGTGAGGCTTGGCAAAGCTTTTCCCCGGGCAGTATTTCAATGTTGGGGAGTTTCCACGCTCATCATTTCTGGCACGGCGTGTGGCTTAATCACTATAAATAACAATTAGTTTTATTGCTTACATGCTTCCTGTTACTTATAGATGTATTTAAAGCCATTCTTACTCTGTCAATGGAATTACTCTGCGCTGAGATGCTGTGTGGAGCCATCAGCGTTGGCCTCAGTGGTTTTCATCCTTATTATGTGGGAAGTATGCTCAGAGGGCTCCAGCAACCTACGATGCAGCTTGCTTCCTCCTTCCCCTCCCTCTCCTCTTTCCCACCTCTTCCTCCAGACACCCACCCCCCACTTCCTCACATTCTCCAGTCAACACCTCCATCGCTTTACTTTCTATCATTCAGAAAACCATTCAACTTCAGTACCCATTGTACGAGACTGAACCACACAGTGTCTGTCACTGTGTGTTCCTGCATATTTGCCTCCATTAGAGATGATTTTCATCACTGATTAAAAGGACTGACCGAATGATTTTACGCATGAAACGCAGTTTAAGTATTGCAGAGTACTACTAAGTCTGCAAAGACAGTTGTATGATGTCGTCTGTGGCTCTGGAGGTTTCATAAAGTCCCAGACCAACACTAATAATTTGTTTTACATGGTTTTGCCACATGAGAGTGACAAAAGAAATCAGGAAAGGGATCTGAAGCAGATCTGTTCTTTCTCCCTCATTGAGAAATTCTGGATCTGCCTTCGTGCCACCCACATTCACTGCATGCGGTAGGTTTCGCTTTCTGCTTTGCACAATGATGGCTAGTGTTAGCGTTAGAGGACACATTAGAGAGATTCAGCCATACATGAGGAGTCTTGTGCACCAAAATGGGTGCCAAGCAGACGTGTCAGAATTGTAACTGTAGTTTACATCCTTAATTGTTTAGGTTTGTTAGCTCGTTAGCTTGTAACTGGCGGTGGCTGACACAGCGTTAATGGCTGTGAAACATAATAATACCTGCTATGATGGGGTTTTTGGTAGCGTAGTGTAGTGGAAGCTCCAGGGTCCACTTTACATCCAAAAACTGCACACTCTAAAATAGAGAGCCTTTATTGGAAGCATCACAGAGAGCCAAGAGCCACTGCGACTTTGCCCGCCTCCATTTTCTTCACCATCTACTACTATGATTCCTTTAAAAAAAAAAAAAAAACGTTCACTAAGCTAACGCTAACTCTGCTCTCTGTTCTGACAAATCTGCTCTGCACTGTGTGTTTTTCAGGCCTGAAATACACACACATTCACAAGGTGGACCTATATGTATTAAATGGAGAGATGTCAGAGCGAGGGGGCTGCCTATGGACAGGTGCAGCAATCAATTTGAGGTTCTGTACCTTGCTTAATGGCAGATCGGCCATGCTATGGAGGCAAACTGGCACCTCTCTAGCTTCCAGTATACAGTGAAGCTATCTCCAGAGAAAAATAGCAAGCTAAGCTACACGAAAATGGCAAAAGTAGCTTGCTACTTGCAAAGCTACATCTATCCCTCCAGTGTCTAGTGATGGCCAAATGAAGCCTCATGAAGCATTTTCTTTATTTTCTGAGCCCACTAGATGGCGCTCATGGTTTAAAGAGAGAGGCTCAAAGAATAGCAATTCAGTGTGCTTTCAACCTTTTGTTGAACACAAAGCGCCATCTAGTGGGCTCAGAAAATAAAGAAACAATAAAGCAAATGCTTCATGAGGCTTCATTTGGCCATCACTGCCAATGTCCACTGCAAATCCACGAAATATGTACAGTCGTTGGGCAAGACTCATAAGAGACGCATCAAGAAGTGCAGTGTAGCCAATCAGAGGCAGAGTAGGGCGGGTCTTGCCAAGAAAAAGCCAATAGCTAAGCAGCAGGCAGAATAAACTGAAGGATTAGTATGTAACGTCATACAGAAATGCTTCGATGTGGTGCTGGTGTCAGTCACATTACTCATCCTCAGTTTTAATATCCTCACTTTGATCCAGACCTCCACAGAAAAAAGTCCGCTGCACTATAGAGCTTTTCCTGGGAAAAAGAGCTTGTAACTTTTACGGTCAATTAATCAAATTTGCAAGTGAAAAGCTATTTGACTCAGAAAGTAGTGATGTTACCACCATGCTACTGAGAAACTGACTGCTACTTGTACTGATGCTACTGCCCAACACTGGTAGGTATTTTGGCAGTGGTAACAATAGTAGTGTTATAAGTTAGTATAGTAAAGAAAAACAGACCGAAGATTGCGGCTACTCGCAGCCAGAAACACCACTGTGAAGTACACAGTGAACATGCTTGACTCTCCACAGAGCCCTGAGGCCCCGCCCACGCTGCTGCACAGAGCCACAGAGCACTGTTTGCATGTTTATTCAAACTTTATTAATATTGAATATGTATCATGTCCAAATTTGGACCACCGCAAGTCTGTGGTTTCCCAGCAATACACCCGCCAAGTGGGAAGTAGATCGGATGAACGGTTCTTGAGACATGCAGGAGACAGTTTATAATTAGATTTTTAATGTTAAGCAAAGAAAAACAGTAAATTCTGTCACTAGAGAAGCAGGAAATGTTTGTTCATTTTTTACAAATCTGTCTTTTAACAGTCATCAGAATCATGGATATAATTTCCTCTCATTAAAATACTTGATTAATTGCATTTTGAACACTGCATCGCTTGATGTAGGGTTGCCACTTTTATTTTGACGCTCCACCACAGCTGACTGCAAATCAACTTCCCCATGGAGACAATTAAATTATGAAACGGAAAACTAAACCACCTCTGCCTCTCTCTTTCTTCCTCTTATTCCCCGTCTTCCACCTCCCTGTCTCCCTCCTCCTCTTCCCTCTTCGTACCTTTCTGTTCCTGTCTTTATTCCACTACATACAGACACTGGCAGAGACACAATGTCAATGCAGCTACAGCTTTTCTCCCTTGTTCCCTTTATCTCTCCATCTCTCCACCATTTGTCTCGTCCTCCCCTCACACCTTCTGTATAAATAGCCAACCTTCGCTCCCTCCCTCCATCATGACATACCTCCTCCCCGTTACGGTAGATGAGCAGGTCAAAGGGAATAGCAGCCACCATGTCGATGAGGAACCAGCCTTTGAAGTAGTGGACGGCAATACGCACTGGATGGCTCACCACCTCATCGTTAGTGTTCACATATGTTGTCCTGAAAGGAAGAATGAACATTGATAAAATTCACTGACAAGAGTAATGGCCAGACAAGTGTTTTTGCAGAACATAGTGATGTCACAGTGAAGGTGACCTTTGACCTTATGGATATAAAATGTCAAAACTTTCTCATTTTATCTTTTTAGACATTTGTGTTAAATTTTGTCCTAATTAGCGTATGAATTTCTAAGTTACGGTCAAAAAGCATGTTATGAGAGGTCACAGTGACCTTGATCTTTGACTTTTGACCATAAAACTCTAATCAGTTAAGTCTTGTCTCTAAGTGGACTTTTGTGCCAAAATAGAGGAAATTCCCTCAACGTCTTCTTGAGATATCGCATTCACGAAATGAGACAGACCAAATTCCAATCAGTTCATCCTTAAGTCCAAGTTGATGTTTGTGCCAAATTTTAAGAAACTCCCTCAAGGTGTTCTTGAGATGTTGCATTCTAGAGAATGCAACGAACCAAGTTACACTGACCCTTGACCTTCAATCATCACATTCTAGTGTTCATTCTTGACTCCAAGTGGACGTTTGTGCCAAAATAGAAGAAATTCCCTCAAGGTCTTTTGGAGATATCGTGTTCACGAAATGAGGTGGACATAAGGTCACACTGACCTTTGACCACTGAATTCTAATCAATTCATCCTTCAGTCCAAGTAGATGTTTGTGCCAAATTTTAATTAATTCCCTTAAGCTGTTCTTGAGATTTCACGTTCATGAGAAAGCAACAGACAAGGTCACAGTGACCTTGACCTTTGACCTGTGGCCACCAAAGTTATAATCAGTTCATTGTTAAGACTAAAGAGGTATTTTTGCCAAATTTGAGAAGTTCCCTCAGGGTGTTCTTGAGATATTGCGTTCTAGAGAATGCAACGAACCAAGTTACACTGACCCTTGACCTTCAATCATCACATTCTAGTATTCATTCTTGACTCCAAGTGGACATTTGTGCCAAAATAGAGGAAATTCCCTCTTTGGAGATATCATGTTCACGAAATGAGATGGACATAAGGTCACACGGAACTTTGACCACCTTAGTCTAATCAATTCATACTAAAGTCCCAGTCGATGTTTGTGCCAAATTTGAAGAAAATCCCTCAAAGTGTTCTTGAGATGTCCTGTTCAAGAAGAATGCAACCGACCAGGTCACAGTGACCTTTGACCTTCGATCATAACATTCTAATGTTCACTCTTGACTCCAAGAGGACATTTGTGCCAAAATAGAGGAAATTCGCTCAAGATCTTCTGGAGATATTGCATTCACTAAATGAGATGAACACAAGGCTACACGCGACCGTTGACCACTAAATTCTAATCTGTTCATCCTTGAGTCCAAGTAGATGTTTGTGCCAAATTTGAAGAAAGTCCCTCAAGATGTTTGTGAGATGTCGTGTTCAAGGAGAATGCAACAGACCAGGTCACACTGACCTTTGATCATCAGATGCTAATGTTTATTTTTGACTCCAAGTGGACATTTGTGCCAAAATAGAGGGAATTCCCTGAAGGTCTTTTGGAGATATCCTGTTCACGAAATGAGACGGACGTAAGAATTCTAATCACTTCATCCTTAGGTCCAAGTAGATGTTTGTGCCAAATTTAAATCAATTCCCTTAAGCTGTTCTTGAGATGTCGCTTTCACGAGAAAGCAACGGACAAGGTCAAAGTGACCTTGACCCTTGACCTGTGCCCACCAAAGTTCTAGTCAGTCCATACTTTAGACCAAATAGATATTTGTGCCAAAGTTTCCTTAAGGTGTTCTTGATATATTGTGTTCAATGTTGAACTTAAGCTTTGAACTTTGACCATCGACATTGGTCTGAGGTGAGACTGAATGGATGTTTGTGCCAAATTTCATGTTTATGTTATCTCTGCTGAGTCAACACATGTGGAGGCACAATTTACTCTTCAGTCCTCTTTTGTTGGGGAAGGAAACCCCTTTTTTTAATATAAACCCCTGAACTTTCAAAGTTCATATCTGTTCTCATGTTCACAGAGGGAGAATCAAAAACTTAATGATTGACACATGCATGTTCCCCAGTGACCCCAGTGACCCCAGTCTAAGCGACACCTGTGACTACTATTGAACTGTATGTGTTTAAAGTCAGACCTGAAGTTGATGAGGATGTCAATAATGAACATGATATCAACTATGAGGTCCACCACGTTGAGAGGAGAGCAGTAACCACAACCCTGCATGGCTGCGTCTTCCTGAGAGGAGAGAGGACAAGAGAGAATACAGAGGAGAGGAGAGAATACAGAGGAGAGGAGAGAATACAGAGGAGAGGAGAAGAGAGAATACAGAGGAGAGGAGAGAATACAGAGGAGAGGAGAAGAGAGGAGAGAATATAGAGGAGAGGAGAGGAGAGGAGAGGAAAAAAAGACAGGAGAGGAGAATTATAATCTAATGCTCTAAAAATAGAACAGTTCTGTGTGATTACCTCCTTCAAATGGATTAGCATTAAGGGTTTCAAGATAATTTGCATACATTTGCAGACAAAACATGAAGACGTGACACAAAAAACGGGGCTTTCACCGGGAGCCAAATTTGAGGAGAAGCTACGGGGATTCACAACACAAATCAGGAGTAAACAAAAGCTATAATAGACTTCATATTTTACAAGAGATACAGTGTCTCTAAGAAACACTATCTACGCTCACTGAGACTGAATTTTCAGTGCCATGAGAATCCTCTATGTACATTAACTTCATTTATTTATTTATTATTTATTTATTATTATTTATTTTATCATTATTTCATAGCCAACATTGTGTCACTCAAAGGGAAGTGTTGACCAGGTTAGCAAGATTAGCCAGTATAACTAAAACTTAAAGGTCCAGCGTGAAGGATTTAGCAGCACCTAGCGGTGAGGATGCAGAACCTAAACTGCCAAGCCTGTAGGAGACCTAAGGTGGCCGACACAAAAACACAAATGGCCCTATCTAGAGCCAGTGTTTGGTTTGTCCGTTCTGGGCTACTGTAGAACAAAATGGTGGACTCTGTGAAAGAGGACCTGCTCCGTATGTAGATATAAATAGCTCATTCTAAGCTAATGGCTACACAAAGATTCTTAGTTTTAGGTGATTATAAACTAAGAAAACATAGTTATGAATATAATATTTCATGTCTCCCAATAGATGCCCCCAAATCCTTCACAATGGACTGTTTAGTTAAGGTAAACTTTATTTAGAAAAATAGAATTTTTTGACACTAGTTGCTAAAAAAGAAGACTGGTGTTAAATTGCACATAACTTCTAGCTGATTTACCCAAAAAAAAAAGAAAAAGAAAAATACATTCAGAGTCTGAGGCTGCAGTCACACGAAATTTGACGCCGTGACAGTTAGTCACAGGGTTGTGTGGTGGTGTCACTTACTGGGGCTCTCAGCCTTTTTCCTCAAGGACCCCTTTGTTTTCATTGCGTAGACTGATGACCCCTGATGAAATGGCATATTTTGTAAATTATATTTTTAGGAACTTTTTATATGATTGTCTGTCTTACACCCCTTTAAATAAAGACATCCCCTCCCCAACCCCCCGAAGCTTTGGCGACCTCTAATGTGGGATTTATACTTCTGCATTGAAATGGACCCTATACCTAACTACCTCCTGTCTATGTTTGTGAGCTGAAACCATTTCCCTCAGTGGAAACAAAGCTTTTATTTACTTTAATTTCACAGATAAGAAACAATAAATTGTGAAGACAATAAAGCCTCCACTAAAATAGCATTTTAAGTCTTGTGTGTGATTTATCCTGGCTTCATATGAGCAGAGGAAATCTCTGCTAACCGCTAGGCTAATTTATACAATGTAAAATGCCTTAGGCTTGTGCTAATAACGTTAGCATGTTATATTTGTCTGGAAAACGCGTTTAGTATAAGACAGTTGTTTTGTCAGTGAACCTTGTGAGTTGTAATGGAGCTGAATTTTGTAACGTTACCTTTGTTAAATGTTGCTGTTGTCCCTGGCTTCATATGAGTAGAGGAAAAGTCTGCTAGCTGCTAGGCTAATTTATACAATGTAAAATGCCATAGGCTTGTGCTAATAACGTTAGCATGTTTTATTTGTCTGGAAAACGTGTTTAGTATAAGACAGTTGTTTTGTCAGTGAACCTTGTGAGTTGTAATGGAGCCTTTGTTAAATGTTGCTGTTGTCCCTGGCTTCATATGAGTAGAGGAAAAGTCTGCTAGCCACTAGGCTAATTTATACAATGTAAAATGCCATAGACTTGTGCTAATAACGTTAGCATGTTGTATTTGTGGGTAAAATGTGTCCAGATAAAGACAAGTGTTTGTCTGTGAATGCTGCAAGTTATAGTGAAGCTGATTTGTGTACTTGTGCTTGAAACTGTCTCTATTAAGCCATGATTAATGTGTGTTTAATGTGTTTTTAAAGTGTGTTTTGGGTGTGTTGTGAATCAATTAAACTTTACAGCACTTCACAGAAACCCGTCGCTGACTAGTGTTTTGGAGGTGTAACTGCAGAGTGACACAGACACACCACCGCACAAGTATAAATGCTCACAACGGCGTAGGCTATGTGTGTAATGAGGGTACCAGTAATTTATATGGCCCATTTGTGGGGGAGTGGAGGGTGTAGAGAAAGCCAATATCCTCATCTCAGCAAATTATTATTTGTCTTCGTTAAGTTTGTTCTGTGAATTTTCTTTGATTAGCACTAGCCTATTGTGGCATAATATGTGGAATTAGACTGTTTTACTTGTTCTTGTGGATTGCCTGTGTCTTTCTGGTCTGACTGACGGTCATGTTGTATCAAGGCAGCATTTGGCTGGATTGTGTTTCCTCAAAAGTTGAATCTATTTCAACTTTTCCCCACAGCGCTGGATTTGGTGTGACTGCAGCCCAAGGATTGTATGTTGTACAGATGAAAAGCCCTTTGAAGCACTTTTGTGACTGGTGATTGGGCAGTATAAATAAAACTAACTTGAGTTGACAGCTGTCTCATTACTGATTCTACCCCCAGATGAGACCACACCTGGTCGCTGAGGAGGAATGCGGCTGAGTAGGGCGTCAGGATGGCGGTGTAAATGACCAGCAGCAGGATGAGCCAGTCCCACACTGCCTTGAATGGGCTGTAGTGCAACACTGTCCACTTGTGGATGCGAGGAGCCTGCAGCTTGTACTCTGGCAACACATCTGCACCCAGAGACAGCACCTGCGTAGAGAGACGGGGACAGAGAGGCAATCAGACACTGATAATTGGAGACAGAGATGGTGGGAAGGCAAGTGATGAGGCAAATAAAGAGGGAAGACAGAAAGTAGGAAGGCGGATAAAAGTATGACAGAATAGGGAGGAAGAGACGGGACATGAGACTGTTAAAGAGGTAGTGCAATGGAAAATGAACTGTACGCACACACGTTTGCACACAGCCTGAGTGCATATAGCAGCTCCATGAAATATACATTGACTTCCATGACATGAGTGCTGTGCTTACTCAGTGGCTATAACAACAGCATTTTGCAATTACAGCAATGGAGCCAGTGTCCTCTGAAGATGACAAGAACGGTTGTGAAGGCACTGACCCTCTTGAGGTTACCCTCCCACGCAGCGTGTTCCCCACACACACATACACACAGTCATTCTAGATACGCATCTGCGCAGTAATGCATGCATGTGTACACACACACTTAGCGGGCATGAGTCTAGTCATGTCCTTTATTTCTCTGGCTCCAGCACGATGAGGCTTTGACTCAGAAGTGCCAAGTGGTGAGGTACGGCACATAACGGTATTCAGAACACATACTGTATATACAAACACAAAGATCTTTTCCTTCCGTCGTCCGCCTCACATACAAACACATTAAAGCACAAACACACACCAGGAATGAAATCTCGGGTATTATGGAGCAGTTCTAAGTAGCTTTACTTGCACTAATGTATTCCATCGTCTGCACTGCACTGGCCCTGGACGAGAGCGGGAATGAATCAGTATACCGACGCATTAGCACGGCCTGCCTTCTGTCTCTGCTTAATAGAATCACACAGTGAACTGCAGAGGCTCGGCTGCTGTGCTGAAAGCGAGGGTAGGAAAAACACAGAGCACCAGAACACAAGTGATAAATCCAGAGTTCTGACTGACTTTCACTGCGAGCTGTGCTCACTCAGGGTGGATGTAGACACCAGGAAACAGCTTTAGAATATAATGCAGTCCAACACAGCACAGACACAAGGCCCTGGTTAAATGATCTATAGCAACTTTCCAACTGGTGGTCCCGAGTCCATTGTGAATGGACCACAAGCGACTGTCTGTAAAAAGCACATCTTATTTTTAAGTTCAACAAATTTCTGGCACAGAGCTTTTATTTTGAAGTGCCATTTCCTGCTGTAGAGTAAGTGAACAATGGACAGACACTTAAACTAGCTAATTGTATGTATTAAACAGTGTGGACCTTGAACTAATGAGTAAGAAGAATCTGGACCTTGTGGTTCGACCAGTTGGGAACCACTGACCTTTATTGCATGGTCTAAAGCAATGGCCCCAGATTGATGCAACCACAAGGTCCAGATTTCTCGTTAGTCGTTCCTTCAAGGTCCATTCAGTTTAATATATTCAGCATCATTCTTGCATTTGGCCATGTCATTGAGCTTTGTTGTCTCTCTTAAGTAGATGTCAGTTAGTTACTCAGTTTACATCAGGAAACAGCATTTCAAAATGAAAGCTCTGTGCGGGAAATTCGAGCCCGGTCTTACTCAAAAGTCATCGAAATCTGGTGCTTGTGCAGTGACTTGCGGCGTCAGAAACCAAAGAAAAAGGGCATTCTTTAACATCAGCATGATACGCAGCCGGCGGCATCAGGGGGAAACACAGCGGGACAAGGACAAAAGTTAAGGCAGCGAAAGTCTGGGTGGGGCAGGTACGAGGGGTGGTGTATGGGTCCAACAAACATCAACTTTCACCTGAAACCCTGTTCTTCTTCCTAACCTAACCGACATCAATTTGCGGTGTTGTACTGACGTAGTGCGTTTATTTTAAAAGAGACTGCATGCAAACATTAAATTTCCTGTGAAAATGGAAGTTTATCTTAAAGGAAGAGAATTTGACACAGTGTCCCAGAAGGTCAACAACCAACGCACCCAGGGTACCTTGCATGTCATATGTTGATGTGGAATGTCCATTACCAAAACGTCAATATGTGATGAAGTCAGAGTGAGAATGTATTGGTTTTTAAAAACTTGACATGTTTGCGAGTCACTTGCAGTCTATTCAGAATGGACCCACGAACCACTTTTGGACCTCAACCTACCATTCCAGAACCACTGGTTTAAAGCGCATGGTGATAACTACACCTTTGGAAAAGCCACTGGGAGCAAATTGGGGTTCAGCATCTTGCTCAAGGATACTACGACATGCAGACTGGAGGGGCCAGGGAATGGACGACCTGCTCGACCTCCTGAGCCCCAGCCGCCCCGTGTGTCCAGATCCACTTCTGTTCATTAAACGGTGCAAAATACAGGCGCAAAGTGTGGCGCAAGGGGCAAAAAGGTTGTATTTAGTCCCTTAATTAATCATAGGTGTGTTTTGGGTGTAATATGAACTCAGCCAGGTGTGTCTGCACCTGGTGCACTGCTAGTTATATGGTAGTCTCGCTCACCAGACCTTTCTCAAGAAAAGAAAGGTCTGGCTGGGCCGACTCTCACTTTGAGATTGGAGAAAAAAAAACGCCCAGGCTGCTTGTACTTCTTTCAACCAATCACAATCGTTCTGGGCGGTGCCACAGCAACGGTGTGCTTGCAAAAATATTGCCGGGGGGAAACAGGTTTTGGTGTAACACACCCACAAAAATATCACCTACGGGACGCGAACCATGGCAGAAAAATGGCTACATCCCTGCAAGATCAAACACCGCAAAAGTTAGTAAAGGACGTGTTGAAAACTGCTACACAACCGGAGGTGGTAGGGCGGGACTTCAGCAGGTGGCTCGTTCCGCCCAATGAGAGGCTGATCTATGCAGCGAACTTCCGCCCACTCAGACTAGTTATATGGTGGATTCGTCAAACTGGCGATTGATGTGTTTTCAGCTGAGAGTAATGCTGTAAGAGCATCGATGTCTCTGCAGCGAATATTGTGCAGCAGAACTAAAAACTGTAGTTATAAACTTGACAGAGGAAACAGAACTAAACTTTTAACCTCATGTAAATGTGCACAGCGTCTCTCCTAATGGGGAGTCAGACAGCAGGTCTCCAGTGATGCTCTGCAATGTTCACATTTTACAGAATGTAATTGTTTTCCTCATTAATGATGTATATTTCACATATCCGCAACCCATCTATGGGTCCTTGTGTGCGTAACAAGCAGAGTGTGAGCACCTTGTGAACTCGCCTATGTAGGCACATCTTACTATCTGAATCATGTGGCCTTTAAATAGAGAGAAATACAACATCATTCTAAGTTCAGACCAGGTCTTATGTTGGTCAATGGCGTAATTGCTTTCTGCTACCACACCTCATTTTAAAAACTTTGCGCCCATGGGTGTGTCGTTTTTAAAATGAGGTGTGGTAGCAGAAAGCAATTACGCCATTGACCAACATAAGACCTGGTCTGAACTTAGAATGATGTTGTATTTCTATAACTGCTACTTACACAGCGTGGGTGCTAGCCGTGAAAATGACAACTGTTTCCATCTGAAAGTAGCATTGATGCCGCTTTGTGCACTATAAGCTTTACAAAGATAGCAGGAGAGTTACACATTCTCGTCACATTATTTTTGTACTCCTACACCTTGGATTTAAATCACATAGTGAGCTTGAGGTTTAATTACTGACTTCAAAATTAAATTTGTGTTACACCCACATGAAATTAACAATATAGGTATTATAGCCCCGTAATGCAACCTCTCAGTTACAGGGGACAGAATGGGAATGGAATCGACAATACATTTCAAAACAAATCAGCAATATTTCACATGTGGCAGCAAATCCTTTGTAGTCAATGACTGTCTGATGTCTGTGGCCCACAGCAGACGCTCTTTGTATGCTGGTGATTCACCTCACTTCCTGCTTGTTTTGTTGCTTTTTGCCTTCAGTCTGGTCCTCAGCAGTGAAACTCATTTTCAGCTGGATTAAGTTTAGATGACTGGCTCTGTATGGCCATGAGAAAACTGTTTGGTGGCCGTGTTTTCTCCTTCAACAACTAACACACATGATTAGGCTCAGGAAAAAAGAACAGGGTTTGGCTTTATAATCTTACGGGACATGAACACCGCTCTCCCAGGGTGAAACTCTATGTTTTTTACCGTCTCCATACAGTATCTTTCAAAGTAAATGCACTATGTCAGTGCAACATCACAAATTGACTGCAAATTGATGTTTTTTTTTTCCTTCAACAACAAACGCATATCATTAGGTTTCGAAAAAAGAACAGTGTTTGGCCTTTCAATCCTTCGGGACACAAACACTACTCTCCTAGGTGAAAGTTGCCATTTGTTGGACCCACCCACCACACCTCCCACCTGCCGCACTTGGACTTCCTACAGTACACCTAAACTTTCATTCTTGTCTTGCTGCATTTCCCCCTGACGCTGCCGGGTGCCATTAAACTATAATGGCAACCGGCCAACGTTACTGACGCTACACCTTTTCTCGTTGGTGCCTCACGTCAAGTCAATGCCCAAGCGTTGGATTTCGACGCCTTCAGAGTGAGACCAGGTTGTAACTTTACTATTTCCTATCTACTGGGTCAACCGTTCCCAGAGTTGTAGTGAAACACTCTTAAAACTCTGAGTTGTTTAACACATTGCTTTATCGTTGACGTTTGACATCAGTTGATTCCACTCCATTAGACTGAAGACAGAGGTGTTGGATCCACATCTGTCTCCCCTTTACATCCTACTATCTTCGAGACTTATAGTGGCCCTTGTTTTTCCCAGTGTGATTGATTGGAACATCCATTAACAGTGCTAATCTTTTGTATTTGTGTAGTGTTGGTAGTTTTTGCCTCTAGTTGCCTGCGCATCTGGACAGTGCATCGATGTGTGAAATCATATGCAAAGAAGCTATGTGGATGTAAATACCTGCAAAGTCCTATCACGCTGCAGATCAGCACTGTCAAATCCACTACTTGGGTACACAGCCTCTGTCCAGCTGCTTGCTGACAGTCACTCTGTGAGACCATAATCACTAAAAATGCATCAAGAAGTCAGAAATTATTTGTGCAA